GAGAATTGCCTGCCCTACATAGATTGGTTTGTTTAGAGTTACTGTGCTTTTTAACATATGGACTGCCGTAATTCCCCCTTCGAATGCTTTAAAACCTACATACAATGGTGAACTTGCTAGGCGCCTGATTTTTTTATTCTCTTCTGTTCGAAGTAATTCTACTCTCATATGTTTACGAACGTTTTCCATTTGTTTACCAAAGACAGCATTGTTCTTTAGCTTATAATACATGACCCCAAACTCATCCCCATTGGCCTTTGCTATTTTTCGCTTGCGAATGTTTTCCTCGATATAGTCTTTCATCCATGGAGATTGCCTAAACTTGATAGCGCTATGAATTTTTGTAATCTTCATTCCAAACTTCATATATGTCTGAAGAGCTTGATAGTGAACCACATAATTTTTCTTAGGATAAAGAGCCTGAACTAACTTCTCTCCGGACATGTATTTACCATTTCCAACTTCTTTATCTTGTACTAATCTTTCATTGTACAAGCTAAGCCAGTCTTCTGGAATTATCTGCTTTTCTGGTGCTAAAGGATAATCTGCAAAGTAATCGTGCAAGTGCACTGAAGCTTCTAGATCAAGTTCAAGCATATAGCCTATTTCTGCATCAGGCGCGATACTTTGGATATCTGGTACTTCCTCTGGACTCACTTTACCCAAAATTTCTGTAGGCATGTATTGGGTCATCGCACCTGAATATAAAGCATTCATATCATCATATAAGATCCAAGATGTTGGTTTGCCTGGATTGTAATCGGGACATTTAGGATTATTAGCTTTGGCATAACGGTGACTTGCCATTGTCATGCCTCCACGAATGCCCTTCTCAATCATCAAGTACTCGTCCATATCTGTCATTAGCTTAAGTTCAGCTCCACTACTTTTGTATAAGGAATCATTAAATATTCCTGGTGCAGATACGTAATGAGAGGAATCTAAGCCATCATCATTCAAGCACATGATAGTGTAGTTCATGAAAACGTCCGCAAGTAAAAGTACGTCAGTTTCAAGATATAAGTCATGATATTCTCCAAAATTCTTCATCTCAAATTCCTGCCATACCTTTTGAGCATGTTCATAATCCTCTTTACTAATATTTTGCTGGCTAAGAAGCGAATAGAAACCCTTTCTAGGTGGGAGGCTTGTTTTATCGAACTTGTCCCATGAGTTGGTCCAGTCATACGGGAATACCCCTTTTCGTAGAAGAAGCTTGATCTTATCTATTGAGTAGTCTTTCTCTGTAAAGTACCTAACAGTTAGAGGGAATTTTTCGAGCTTTCCTCCTAGACATTCTACTAATTTATCTAGTCCCATTCCCATATGCTGAAAGCTATCTAAGAACCGAAGCTGTCCTACGTCCATGGCTTTGTACTTTCCTATATTTTCTGGGATGCAATTTAGCTTATCAGCCGTGAATTTGCTCACAACTTTCATAAGCGGATGAGAGTCATATCCCCGGAAATTATGACATATAAGTGGCACTTTGGTTTCGAAAGAGCCTATTCGCAATTTTTTATTACAAGAGTCATGAGCTGGGCCTCGATACTTTCCATTTATATGGTCATGATCTTTTACTTTTCGATTAAGAGCACTTAAGGCTTCTCGGTATCTTTTCTGCACCTCTTTCTTTTCAGGATGCTCCTTTTCCATACATGTTTCCCATTCCTTAACTTCTAATAATCTATGTTTTGCTTCTTCGAATTTTTTTATTACCTCTGGTGCTGGTTTTAAGAAAGGTCCCTTGCAAATCCAGCATTCAGTCGCTTCATTATATGCCTTCAAGTCTCCTGGTGCCATTATCATTTCAGCCGGTGCAGATAAATCTTCTTGGATAGCTAGGAGTTCCTCTTCGATTTTTGTAACGAATCTTTCCAAAGCATCTGGACCTCTATATAGATCGTGACTCACAATCTCATAATTAAGTGAACTATCCATGCGAACCACTACATAGCAATAACCACTTGGCTTATGCCTCTGTATTCTTTCAGTATGGGTTAGTTTTGTTTTTTCTTCGGGAGTTAGATTTTCGGTTAAGCATTCTAAATCCCAGAATATTCGGTATGGGTTTGGTTGCATGCATTTATGATTATAAAAAGCTTTGATACTCTTATTTTTTATCGGCATTTGTGGCCGTTGAGGAGCATTATTCAAACCCTTGCATTTTGGCAAATGTTCCTTATACCCTTTCTCCGCTAAATATACATGAAGGCAATATCGGCATAGATATTTTCGTCCTTTATGCTTACTATGATTGTATACCAGCTTGTGCAGATCTTTGATTATGCAGTAATGACTTCTATCTTCTTCCGTAATTACTAGAAGATTTACTTGCTTATATTCATCTCCCCTTCTTTCTGAAATATAGCGAAAGTCAAGACATTTGTTTTGGTTGTGCCATTCATAGACACATAGACTGATTTCTGGGTTATTTTCTTCGAACTTTTTATAAACTGGTGTTGAGATTGGCACTGGAACTGGAATATCGTCCATATTAAGCTCCTCCACAAAATCTCCATATAGCCGATGCGGATTTCTTTCCAGATGAACTTTAACTGGATGCAAAGCTCCTAGGACACTCCATCCGAAACACCAGTCATCTTTATTTTGAATATTAATAATTCCATTATTATGTTTCGGCAAAGTTTCTGGCAAAGGTATATGGGCGGTAGGGCCAATCGGATTGAAATCAGATATCTCTATACTAAATTCTTCTATATATTCTGGGTAAGCATCAGACATTTGGTATATTAGTTAGCTCTAACCGTCGCGCTATTACTTGCTTATAAATTTTTTTCTTTAATTAATTATTTCCTATTCCTTTCACTTT